ATTATATAATAAATTTTTTTTTTTAAAAAAAAACCAAAATTTATTTTTAAATTTAATATAATTTTTTAATTTACCCATTCCCACAAAACAACGCCCCCCCCCCCCCCCCAAAAAAAAAAAAAAAACTAAAAAAAAAACTAAAATCAAAACAAAAACACCTGATCATTCGCCTTGGACATGGCGCCCGGCTGCTTGAAACCCAATGACACCAGATTTTTGGTCATGGCGTTGACCATGGGCGGCGGTCCGCACAGTAACATCTTGGTGTCGTCAGACGCCGCCGGCAAGTACTCCTTGATCATCTCGGCGTTGACGAATCCAGACAAGCCCGTCCACTCACCCTTGGGATGAGCCAACACGTGCCTGACCTGGAACTTGTGAGGACACAGCGCGGCGAAGCCATCCAGCTCCTCGCGGAGAAGGATATCCGCTTCCGAGTTGCTGGCGTACAACAGGCTCATGGTCGTGTTGTCGCTCTCGTCCTCGCAGATGGCGCGAATCATCTGGAACATGGGCGTGATGCCAGTGCCGCCGGCGATCATGCCGATTTTCTTGGCGTAGCTGTTGGGCTTGTACTGCATGGAACCCTTGGGGCCTCGAATGTCGATGGTATCACCGATGGACATGGTTTCAAGGTGTTTGGTCAGGGCGCCCTTGTCATAGACTTTGATGAGAAGCTCAATGCGGCCGAGGTCGCTGTTGTTGGACACGGGAGTGTAGGAGCGGGCTACGGGCTTGCCGTCGATGATGGCGCGCAGGGCAATGTGTTGACCGGTGGGCAAGCCGAGGACCGAGTATGGCTTGGGAAGGGCAAAGACGATGCGGTAGACGTTTGGAGAGACGAGCGTCTTGCGAACAAGCTTGAATTTGCGCCATTGTTGGGGGTCGATGACTGGTATCGCCTTGGGAGCGATGGCGGCTCTGTAGGAGCCAGAGACGGTTGGTACGTTGAGGATGGGGACATGTTGGCTGGGACTCGCCTTGCGATGGGCAGGGTAGTGGGTGAATTCTTCTTGGACGTCGAGTTTGGACCACGCCCATGCGCTGAGAGCCAGCGTTCCGGTGACTTCGGCAATGGTTGCGAGGCCGATACCCCACCAAAACATTGATCGACCGCCAGATCCTGAGGTCAAGGATGTGGGGAGATATTTGATAGCCAGAGCACATGGCTGGCGGATCAATCTGACGATCAAATCACTGGGACCCCCGACAAACAATGGTGCATTCCCCGCCCATGCTGCAGCCCCGGCACCGAGGGTAAGGGCCACGGCGAGGGATGGAAGAGCTCGACTCCTCTTGTTCTTGCTCTTCTTGAGCGTGACCTTGACTGCTGCTTCCTGGCCGACATCGAGATAGGTTGGTCGGAAAACCTCCAAAGTCTCGACGTGTTCTTCTTCGGCCAAGTTACCGACAAAGAGGAGTTTCAACTCGTCATCGGCCTCAGCTGAGTGGCCTACCTCAGCAAAAGCTTGGGTGGCATCGGCACCGCCAACCTCAGTAAGGACAGCAACGCCACCGGGATGGTCCTCGAGGTATTTTGTTACGTCGTACACTGATTTCGTCAGAATCCACCCCTAAAAAAAGAGCAAGAAGAGCCACATACCCTTGTTGTTGATGATGAGCCAAAGGTCATCAGGTTTGCTGTGCTTCTCAACATCGGCCAACGTAAATGTTGGTGGCACGAGTGTGGTCATTGTGTCCAGGTTGATGTTGTTGTGTATAATTCTACAAAACCCAGCGTGAGGAAGTTGGACGATATTATTGAAATGATATGTGCCAAATAGAGGGTCTCGACCAGAAGCCCGGGGGGACCACTAATAATATAATCATCACAGAGGAATGCAAATCCGGCTCGATCCGAGCCCAACACGGGTATTTTCTCTCCAGTTCAACTCTTCGGGACGTCCGTTTTGGGGTCCGATATGGGTTCGTCCTGTCGGTGTCTCGGCTTTGAGTCAGGGGTAGCCCACGGAAGCTGCCGCGATTTTCAAACAATGCTACCCTCCCACAATCTACGTACTTGGCTACTTGGTGGCAACATCATCGGTGCCCCACATCCCGATACTTCCACCCACTTGCATGCATGCCACTGACAGGGGCTTTGATCGACAGCGAACTTGGTCCGAACTTCTCGAAGCCGCGGGTAATGATACCGAAATCCAACGGCGAACAGAAAATGCAGGCCATCCGAATGCCGATGGGATATGCTTTCAGACCCGACACGGAGCTGTCTCCGCTGAGAGGCACCGGCGGATCGCGTCCCGAGCGGACCGATCGACGGGATGCTTAAATATAAAGCTTGGTCTTGGCCTTTATATTGTTGTTTCTATACTAGCTTTTCAGGTGTTCATTGGTAAATCTGTTGATCAGTTGCGACGAAGCACGCATATACCACACACATACCACGACAACCATGGCATCCAAGCAATTCTACTTTGTGGGTGATGGTGCCGAGACGGCCAGGACGGTTCCTGTGGATGTTGGGGGAAAGCTCGACGATCTCAAACGTGCTGTTGCTCTGACGCTGCACGCTGCCGTCCCACAAGGTAAGCCCCTTTTACCCATTTCACCCCTTTCAGTCTTGACATTTACTGACCTCAGTCGCCACTCTTCAGGCCTTTCATTCCACACATCAGAGTCCGATCTCACCCACATCACAACTCTCAACGATGTCCTCTCAGTACCCGGCCCCGTCCCGGTTCGCGTCAACAACATGGCCGTTCGCTCACCCCAGGGCCCCGAGGGCCTCCCATTAGTGGGCTCATTTTATCAAGTCTTCCCAGACCACCTGGGCAACCACGAGAGACTGTTTGCCCGATATGGACATGTTATACGGACCGTGAACCTCGGAAAGGTCAACTACCTCACCAACGACCCCGACGTTGCTCTGGTTGCCTTGGCCGAATCACAGTACTTCACCAAAAAGATCAACGAAGACCACCCGCTCTGGGGCATCAAGGACAACACGGCCATCTTTATCTGCGACACAGAGAACGAGAACTGGAGACTCGCCCACAAGTTTCTCCCTCCCGCCCTCGGTCCCAAAGCAGTCAGACATTACACCCCTGACATGCAGGCCTGTGTGAGATCATCCTTCAAGGTCTTTGACGAGCTCGACTTGCGCGGGGAGTCCTGGAATGTTTACCAATACATGGTCAAGCTCGCCTCGCAAACGGTTGGCAAGTTCTCTTTCGGCAAAGATATGAGACAGTTTGACAGCATCGACACGCCCGTGAACCCGCTGGTCACCAACATTGTCAACATGCTCGCCCTCAACAAGAAGGTCACGGCCCGCGGAGAATGGTACCGCAACCTCCCGTTCGGCGACTCGGCAAAGCTCAAACAGGTGCAGCGCGACGTGTACCACATGCTGGCCGAGACGATCGAGGGTGCGCCCAGCTCCGGCATCGAGAATATGCCGCTCAACGAAGCCGCCACTCGCGCCTCGTGCGTGGCCGACTACCTCGTGAACGCCGTCGACGAGACCGGCGCGCACTTCCCCATGCCCCTCATCCTCTCCAACATGCTCGTCGTCACCGGCGCGGGGTACACGACAACCTCGTCGCTCATGAGCTGGCTCATCTACACCATTGTCACCTATCCCGGCATTCAAGATAGACTTCTCCAGGAACTCGTCGACTACGGCATCTCAGAGAAGACGGAGTGGACTCCCGATCTCGCGCACGGGCTTCCCCTCCTCGACAAGTTCGTAAAGGAGACGCAGCGCCTCCACAATGCTTCCTTCCAGCCGGGCCGGACGACAAAGACCGACGTGGTCGTTCCGGGCGGCTACCGCATCCCAGAGAACTCGGTCATCATCCCCGCCCTGTACGCAATCCACACCAACTCGGACCACTGGCACGACCCCCTCCGCTTTGATCCCGACCGTTGGGACACGGACGAGGTCAAGAAGGACAGACACAGGGGAGCGTACCTGCCGTTCGCCACGGGGCCGAGAGGCTGCATCGGCTTCAACTTTGCGCTGCTCGAGGTCAAGATTCTGATGTCGGAGCTGGTGCATCGGTACGAGTTCTCGAGGGAGGGGACTGATGCGATTCAGTACGATCCCGAGTTCCAGCTGATTCGGCCGCTGAATTTGGTAAGTTCTGATTTAATTATTAGTACTTTTTAGCAATTTTCCCGTTCCAAGATGATTTGAAAATGCTAACTTTTTTGTGTGTACTTAGTATGTCACCGCAAGGAGGAGAAAGACTTACCCGGCGAGGTCGGCGGATGCGCCGGTGGAGGTTCCTTTTTGAGGCCAGGGTGTCGTCGGATTTAATTGAATGAAAAGGATTTTCGGAAGGGCTGGAGGTAATTGGGGGGACTTTGACAGGAAGGCGTTTTTTTTTCTTCTTCTTTCTTGTATATCTTTTCTAGAATTGTAAAGTACTACTTGAACATGTTAATGATTATTTCTATTTTCTACGAAGTGCTGATATATCTTGCATTTCTCAAGATATACTTACTATACATCCCTTATTTTCCCAATTTAATTTCACGGCTACCTATTAATTTATTTTTCTGATTTACTTTCCCGGCTTTCTTTGAATTATGGGTTCTCTCAAAGGTTCCCCCTAGATTAAACATTTTCACTACAAGGTACATATCTGTAGAGTGAGAACCCATAATTCATGCATCTCTGACCAATTGACACATGAACACAAAAGACAACGAGCAATTATAATATAAAAGGCCGTTTGGCGCAATGGTAGCGCGTTACTTTCCGGTTCAGTCTCTGATGGTAAAGGTTCTGGGTTCGAATCCCAGGATGGTCGATTCATTTTGCCCATTTGGATTTATTTTTGTTTGAGATTTTAATTTGCGTCTTGGGAGAGCAGGCCCCCCTTCACTCTTGGAAAATCAACGGACGACGAGTGAGGATGCGAATTTGGAACGTTCGAGCTTCTGTTTTATAGTTTATGATGCATAACCACGGTTGTCGGACTCCCCTCGAATTGTTTGACCTTTTAACTTTTTAACTTTTTTTATTTGTTTGGATCAACATGAATCGCCAATTCCACAACATTGTGCAAAAGGCAATTTAAACGATGGGAACAGAAGGTTCGATTTGTGAACTCGGCACTTCTACATAATTCCGACTGCTCCCTTGCCTGACAGGTCACAAGCACCCGACTGGTTCCCTTCGCGGTCCAGCGGTCCAGTCACTTCTAATATCCAACTTCAAGCCAAACCGACTCTAAATCCTGTCTTGAATTTTAATGAGCGAACCGGAAATCAAGACGCTTGTTGCCCTCATCAGTCGTGTTCGCCAGGTAATTCAACCTCTGCTCCTCGGTCATGGCATTCCACTTCTTATCCCTCGACTTGTTACGCCAGACATAGTAGGCCTTGACGAAAGCATAAATTACAAAATTCATGCAGCAAATACCCAAAAGTTGACGATTTCCCCGTCGATAGAGCGGCGCATCGTCCTTTCGATAGATGTTGGACGAAATAATTCCCGAGGTCTGCACCATCATGTTGTAGGCCGCCGCAGACACCGTTCTCGACCGGACCGCATTGGAGTTTCGCGAGTTCCAAGCCACTTGGATCGGGTGCGGGTTGGGATATGAAAGCAAGACGGTGATGACGGCAAAGATGACCCATCTGCTGACTTGAGAAGTGTCGACGGCGTTGAGGTAAATGAGGATCGGCAAGATCCAGACCTGTGCCGACACAGCGAGCAGAGTTAGGTTGTGGAACATCTCCGCAGCGTACGCGACCCCCACCATGGTGATGACTGTGAGTTGCAAGTTAGCTCCATCCTGCTCTTCAGAGGCAACGGACAATAACTTACTGTGCCCAACTGTGTAGGGAATCAAGAGAAGATTTGTCTGGAAAGTGTCGAAGCCCAGGCCTCTGAGTGTCAAAGACAAATACTGCGCAAAAGGTACCGCGGGAATTTGGAATGTCAATCCAAGAATGTACAGCGGCCAGAGATCCCAGTCCCACAGGCTCTGGAAGAGCAGCTTGGGGGTAATTGGCTCCCGATTATGCATGCTTGATTTAGTTGGGTCCTCTCGAAGCACTCTGTTGACCATGATCACTTCCTCTCTGCAGTAGTGAAAAAAATAAGTATCCGGTCGTGCCTTTAAGTGGTGCTGTGTGTGTGTCGGGGCGGATGCTTACCTTTCCGTGAACCAACCCTTCTTACCGCGGAACCAGTTCTTCGTTTCACATGGTCCGGGCGGCATTAACCCAAATGCGAGAAGACCAACTATCAAAGTAATTAACCCTTCCACCAGAAAGAGCCAACGCCAACCGGGCAGACCATGTACACCTCGCATATGAAGAAGGCCGAAGCCCAACAAAGCGCTGATAATGTCGGCGATAGACATGGCCGTCCAGAAGAAGCCCAGACGAATGGTCAACTCGGCATGCTTATAAAAGTAGCTCAGATACAGAATGATATCTGGGATGAAGCCACCTTGAATCATTCCGAGCAGAGCTCGACAGGCGAGGAAAGACCCACGACCTGATAGCCAGAACTGAGATGCTGCTACAAGCGACCACAATGTCATTTGAGCAGGAATCCATCGGTCAGGCCCAACCCTATTCACCTGTCAGCTACATTAAGATGCCAAAAAGGGGGTGAAGAATGTATAACTTACCACTTGGAGATTAGCTGTGAGGGAAGTTCCGCAACGAGGAACGAAAGCTTGAAGACGGTATTTCCCAAGTTATAATCTACAAGCAGGACCTGTCAGGACTCAACACAACCCAAGGAAAGCCCAGCGGAGGCTCTTACCATTCGTCGTCATCTTCAAATCTTTCAAGAAGTTGTCAGTCAAGGCTTGGCCAATGTTGGCTCGATCGAGCTCAAGAGCCATGAACATGATACAGGCCCAGACCATGATCTTGAAATCGATCTTGCGGATAAGCCTGTTCTCTTCTCTCCATGTCCAACGGGCTAACGGGTCGAATCGATGGGCGTTCTCCCTATTGAGTTGATGTCAGCATCTAACTAGCCGGTAAAACTGAATGAAAGTATGCAGCACTCGAACTCACCAGTCAGGTCGGGGATGATATTTCTCAGCAGTGTCCGGATCGTCAAAGACACTGGGAAGCGTTGCAATGGCATCTGGATCATAGGGTTTGCTGCGCTTGAACCAAGAGGTTCTTTGCTCAATAGGCTCTCCTAAGGGAGGGATGTCGGAGCTGATGGAGGCGGTTGATGCAGAAACTTCGCCGTTCTTCTCACCATCTGAGTCGACAGTGGGCCTCTCGGCCCTCGCGGGCCTACCACGAGCCAGAACCGTGGCCATTTTGATGGAGATGGCGATAGTAAGCTCTGCCCGATATGATTGTTTCTTTTCATCTCCAAGCACAGACGGCGCTGATGCCCTTTATAGAATTTGGATATACTGGCGATAACAATGCCTATTGTCGCTGCCGACGCGGTAGCAGACTTCATGGCGAACACTATGCACAGAATCACGTCTTCCATGAGCTCTACCACATTTTCTAGGATAGGTAGGGGTGGCAGAGAGATGGGTTGCACATCTCCGACCTGAACGCACGTCAATCCTTGCAGAATGGGAAATGGCAACTCGCCCCCGACCCCCAAATGTACCAACGCATGCACGGCAGTAGCAGGACCAGGAGCAACTGTACCTCGTTACGTTTCTTGGTCCTCCGCCCCCCACCCCCCCAACACGGAACTTTGCCCCCACCAAGACTGCAACATGTTCAGGGTGGATGGGTAGGAGCAACACTGTGTGCTCCTTCGCTTGTTCCCGAGCAACCTCAAGACAGCTTGAACCGCCGCTCTACAGCAAGTATTGCAAGAGCGAGAACAAAATGGGGTTCTAGACCCTGCTTTGACGATCAGCAAACAACGCCACATTATGAGAACGTGGTCCATCCAGCCAGCTGGGACGCGGCTCGAGATAAGCCATCATGCATCGTCGGACCCGGTATCTGGTTCTAGGCTGTCCAGCAAGATCTTGTCCAACCAACCAGCCCTACGGATATGAAGTGTTTTGATTCTCAGAGCGAAAGGGGAGCTTGATGGTGTGTGAGAATCTCTTACTCGGATCGTCCTGACATCCGGGGTCCCGGGGTGATACCAATGATCTGGTAGGACGCCCGGATATGTGGCAACGAGTTGGACACCACCATGCATAATGGATGCAGAACGTTGGCAGTCTGGGCCATGAATATTGAATCTTCCGTCCTGCTCGCAGGCTGCCGACTACGGAGACTACTGAGAGGAAATTCAGAGACGATCCCCGTTTGTTGAAAGGCCCAAGGTACCAGTATCAGGGCAACATCACAATGACCACATAAAAGAATCGGTAACTCGGCATCAGCATCGGCCGACAGACGGTGACTACTAATCGATTGTGTGGTGCGGGAGTTGGATCGAGGGCTTAGTGAGTGGCGCAATGAGGCGTGATTGGTGGGGTTGTTGATGTGATTTGGGAGGTTTGATGCCAAACTCACTAGCGGGCCAAATTGGTCAAAAATACAATGCAGGACGGGATCTGATTGGTCAGTTACCAGTTTCATTCCAGGAAAGGTATATGGCGACATTTGACAAGTTCGCCGTTGCAGCGCATTATCTCCGTGGTCAGCAGCAACGGCAGCCGCACTGGAGAAAGAACCCCGAGATAGAGGACCTGGGAACGACGGATTGCCCAATGAGCTTCTCGGCATTTCAACAAGCATTGCCAATCCACGGCACCGTGTCGGGCGCGGAAGACGTGGGGGAATGGCGCCTTCATGCCAGACCACTAAATCCGGCATTTTTGGTTTCTCAGCTGTCGCCAGAGACAGCTTTGTGCTTCATTGCGGCATGGGCTGGTGCAAGCTCGTCATCCATCTCTGGCGACATTGATTCGACGGATGGCAGTCTATCAGATACCGTCTTGATGCAACATCGGCCAAAGTAGCCGCTGGGTCTACACACCCTCACGCAATAGACGCGGGGTTGATGATACGAATCGGCATGTCAGGATTGATGGATGTGAATGTGAACAAAGGTGTTGGGTAGCTGTATAAAGGTAGATCAGGACGTACCTACAGCCATCACAGCATCTTTCTAACATCATCACTTAAACAAAACAGAATCAGACACATACAATGGCTCCTTCAGCTGTCGAGACTCAGACCGCCGAGGTCGTCGTCCCCATCGTCACCAAGGGCTCCACAGCAGCCACCAGCCGTCCTCAACCACTTAAGCTCTCTGGCGCTCTTGATGCTTACGAGTCCTTTGAGGTAACTCCCATCATTGGAAAAGAGTTCCCCAAGGCCAACCTCGTGGAGTGGCTCAACGCTCCCAACTCGGATGAGCTTTTGCGAGATCTCGCCATCACCATCTCTCAGCGCGGTGTCGTCTTCTTCCGAGCCCAAGACGACCTCGACAATGAGCTCCAGAAGAAGTTGATCCTGCGTCTGGGCGAGTTGGCCGGCAGGCCCGCCACTTCCGGACTTCATATTCATCCCTTGCTCAACAATGAGCGCGAGTTGGGTGGCGAAGACCCCGAGATTTCGACCATTTCTAGCATTCAGAGCAAGCAGTTCTACAAGCGCCAGAACCTCCCCGAAGAGTTGAGCACCAAAAAGCAGACCAGCGCGCAATGGCACAGCGACATTGCTTTCGAGCCCGTCCCTGCCGATTACACCTCTCTCAGGCTTGTTGAGCTCCCAACCACGGGCGGCGACACCCTCTGGGCTTCGGGTTACGAGCTCTACGACAGAATCAGCGAGCCTTATCAAAAGTTCTTGGAGACGCTCACAGTCACTTTCGAGCAGCCTGGCTTCAAGAGGGTGG